GTTGGAGGCTGCAGTGAGCTATGATTGTGACGCAGTACTCCAGCCTGAACAAAACAGTGAGACCCTGTCTCTAAACAAATAAAGTGGCCATAGCATTTTTGCTCATGTTTCGTTGGCCAAAGCACATTACTTGTTGAAGTGTGTTCCCGGTGGGATGAGAGAGACGCAGAGACCGACCCCATTGGCAAGGCCTCCAGGGACAGTGATATTTTGACAGTAACAGACTGCTTCATTAGCTCTATCTGGGCCCAAAGCCCACTGCATCGGACAGCCTCGACCCTGCTGTGTGACCTAGGGCAGGGCACTTTGCCTCTCTGGGCCTGGACCTGCTGAGGACTCCCTCTGTGCCTGACTCACACGGGCCGCTGGCTCCCTGGGTCTTTTCTCTCTCCAGGCCCTCGTGCTCGTTCATTAAGCCTCACGGCGACACTGTGAAGTAGTGAGTGTAGTTGTCCCCATTTCACAGATGCACACCCTGAGGCTCCGCTTCCCCAGGTCACAGCAGAGCTGGGATTTGAGTTCACACAGCGCCAACTTCTCAAGCCCACATCTCGACCCGAGCCCACTCTCGCCAGGTGGCTTGATGCTCCTGCGAGGTCGGCAGAGGGTCCGTAGGTCACCTCTCAGCCAGGCCCAGCTGCCCATGTCTCTTTCTGGCTTGATGGCCTGGGGACGCGCCCTCCGCCCTGGAGTGCGACTGCCCCAGGGGGTGGTGACGGAGATGTCCACGGCAGCTGCTCATTCTGCCAATGACTCTAAGAATCCTCGCCCGTCCCCGGGGACAGCATTTGGCGAGATCCCTCCACCCCAGCAGGTTTTGCTGATTGCTCGGGGAACGGCCAAGGAATCAGAATCAGTCGATATCCCGAAATACGCCGGAGAACCGGCTGTCTGCGGCTCTGGCCAGCCTCCCGTCTTGCCCCATCAAAAAACCTCCAGTTTTTTATCTTCTGCCATTTACAAAACACACACATATGCACAACAAAGACCCCTGCATCTGGATGGAATTAACTTCCAGGTCACATATTTCTAATTACTTTTTTTTTTAATTTAAAAAACAAAACACAACTGAATCCTCCCAGCTGGCAGCCATGGGGCAGGCAGGCCATAGGAGGCGGGGAGGCTGCTTTGGGATGGTGCCCCCCCCCCCCCCGGTCCTGGGCACCCCAGCCTGTCCCCTCCATAGTATGGGGGGGGTCTCCCTTATGAGGAAGGGGGAGTCGGCAAAGGTGGCGCCTCCTGCAGGCAGCCCCTCCCTCTTCTGGCAGCGAGGATAAGCTGGAGAACAGGGGTCACGTTCTGTGCCAATTCCAGCAAGCTGGCTGCAGAGATCGGCGAGCCCCACGGCACACGCGTCCGCCATGACAATGACTCGCGGATGCGCGGAATGCTGGGAGGAGGGAGAGCAGGGACCCGCCCTCACTTCCTGGAAGAGGGTGAGCCAGGACACACGGAAGCACACAGGGACATCCATCCCAGTGTTGACCTTGGAGTTTCCCCAAGATTCAGGGCACTCTGAGGCCAGAGAGACCTGGGACCAGGTCCTGGTGTTGCCGCCTCCCTGCTGTGTGGCCTTGGCGAGTGACTTAGCCTCTCTGGGCCTCATTTCCTCATGTGTGAAATGGGGGTAGCAGCTCCTTACTCAGCGCTGTTGCAAGGGTTTAGAGACCCAGGAGCTGGCACGCCATCGTTGCTAGGACCTTTATTAACTATTGGTGCGCGTCCACGCAGAATATACCACTTAGTGAGGAAGTGATTTGCGTGGAAGCTGCCAGGGTCACCGGCTTATCAGTCGCTCATGACCTGTGTTCGCGTCAGTGACATTACAGCCCGGTGCCAAGTGCCGGGCACACAGAGACAACCTGGATCCCAGCCTTGCCCCCAGCCTGCCCGATCTCAAAGGGTGGACAGGCCTGCAAAAGAGCAAAGACAGCAGCGGGAAACCCAGTGGCCTGGGAAGCCCAAAGGAAGGGTTGGACGGATACGGGCATCAAGGAAGGCTTCCCAGAGGAGGTGACAGCTAGGCTCAGACACGGCGGCAGGACCAGTGGGGTGCTCGGGAGGGATGGGGGGAGGGGTTCTGGGTGGAGGAGCATCATGGAAGGAGCCTCTAGACAGAATGCCATCAAGTTGGAGACAGAGGTCTACCCCTGAGACCTGGAGGTGGCTAGCCAAGGCAGTGTGGGGCAGTGGTTAGGGACTCGACGGAGAGCTCAACTGCCGAGCTCACATCCGGGTTCTGTCGCTTCGTGGCTGTGAGATCGCAGCCCTGTCTCTTCGTTCGCCTGAGCCTCAGTTTTCCATCTGTGAAACAGGGGCGATGATGACACCGTTTCCTTCCACGGTTGTGCTAGCGTCAGTCGGGCTAAGGTGTAGAGTGGGTTCGGGGCTTAGCAGCCTCTGCTGCTTCTGGTCCTGCTCCTTCCTGGCTCTGGTGGCTCCAACCCAGCCCGTGGCCAGCCATCCCCCGGCCGACGGTGTCTTGTACCCCTTCCGTGGCCAGCACCTGCAGGCAGGGGCCCCCGCCTCCCTTCTTCCCCTGTCCCCCGCCACAGCCCCCGAGGCTGCTGCCATGGGAACCACCGAGGAAAAGCTGACGGTGAGAGCAACTCTGTGGGGGTTGCCAGAGAGAGGCCGCTGGGGAAGCGGGAGGACCTGGGGCTGGAGCCAGCCCGCCCCCTCTGTCTGTGAGGACATCTACCCCAGGGACTCCTCCTGCCCTGGCATGTTGGGGGTGGGGAGCAGGCTTCTTTTCCCTGGAAGGAATTCCACATCCAGTTGTCTCTGGGTGAAGCTAGCCTCTCCTTGATGGGAGGGAGCCGGGCCCGGCTGTCAGTCACTCACACTTTAGCATGAGCAAGCCCGTCAGCATGTTGCAGGCTTCCTGGAGGTGGTGGCTGCTGGAAGGTAGGGCTGCAGGAGGCAGCAAGGACCGCAGTGATGGGGAACTGCGGGGTTACTCACTCCTCAAGCAGCTTCTAAGCCCCAAGCACGTGCTCTATGGCTGCTTATGCTAAGTGCTCAGAACCAGAGAGGCCTCCCCTGGAGGGGCCTCCAGGCATGCAAGCCTCTTCAGGGCCAGGGGAGGGCCCGGTGGAGACCCAAGGAGTCTGAGGGGGACAGTGCCCCACTGCCTACTGACACCAGGGCATCTGGGAAGGTCTGGAACCTGGAGGTCGAGCCTGGACAAGAAACGGGCAGGCCCAGAGACGGGCAGGGCTTCTCCCGGGCCACACAGCAAGCCGGGCAAAGGAGTTAGAGCGGGGTCTCCTGGCCCCACCCAACTTCAGGCAGTTTCTTGAGGGACCTGCTGCATTTAAAAGCCCGGTCTGGGCGAGACCCCGGGGGGGTCTTCCTGGGAGATGTGGGGAGCAGCATAGGGAGGCCACACCCCTACTCAGCTCCTTGGTGCTGGGAGCACCCCTCCCTGGGCCGTGATGCCCACCCACCCTGACAGATGCCGGTGGCCGGGGGCGGGTGGGGGCCGCGTGTGAGCAATGAAAAAGCGGTGCCTCTCACGGGCCGCAGCCCTTGGCAAGCACTGTTCGGAGCTCACAGCCCCGGCTGCCGTGGCCAGCCCAGGACACACCCACGCTGGGCACACAGACCCCATCTAGGGGGTGAGGGTGGACAGGCAGGCCCCAGGTGATGGGGTTGGGTCTGGGGGCATTCCAGGCGGTGGGCCAGAGAGGGGCTCGACCCTGCCATGTGGGAGCCGCAGGGTATCCTGAAGGCTTCCTGGGGGAAGCAGTCTCCAACAGGGGGCCTGTGGGAGTCAGTCAGGGGAGGAAGGGGCAGGGAAGGGAAACGGTGGTCTGGACAGACCCCTCCGGAAGCTTGTGTCACTTACTCTTCTTCTTCTTTTTTTTTTTTTTTTTGAGTTGGAGTCTCACTCTGCCGCCCAGACTGGAGTGCAGTGGCCGCTCCCGGCCACCGCAACCTCGACCTGCTGGGCTCCGGCGATCCTTCCGCCTCAGCCTTCCAAGTAGCTGGAATTACAGGCGTGTGCCACCACGCCTGGCTGATTTTTTGATTTATTATAGAGATGAGGTCTCGCTGCCCAGGCGGGTCTCGAACCTGCGGGCTCAGGCAATCCACTCACCTCGGCCTCCCAAAGGCACGGGATGACAGGCTGAGCCACTGAGCCCAACTCTTCTTCTTCTTAGCTTTATTTTATGATAGAGATGTAGGGTAAAAGTCAGGATTAGGTACATAAGGAATCCACATGCAGGTGCAATTTGGGCCTCCAGCTGGTCCCCACTTCCCCTGGTTCAGGATCAGGAACCCTAAGTGACATTACGTGCCCCGCCCCCGGCAGTATCTGGCGATTGCCGATCCCTCGTTGGTGCGATGGCGATCCATCTTCAGGTCCCACTGAATGAGTGAGAACATGCGGTATTCGGTTCTTTCTTTCTGGGATAGGTCACTGAGTATGATGGTCTCCAGCTCCATCCAATGTGCTGCAAAGTCCATGGTTTTGTCCTTCTTTACGGCTGCGTAATATTCCATCGGGCGGGGAGGGAGGAGCGGGAAATGTGGGTTGAACGAATAAGAAAAATCATGTCGGGGGCCCTGAGATCCCCTCCCATGCCCAGTCACAGAGGGAAGGGGAAGGTCTGGGGGGGGGGACCCTGCTACAGCACC